TTTTGTCTGTGTTTGTATGGATGGAGGGGGCTATCTGGGAGAAGGTTTCCTTGCTGCTTTTAAAGGCTCAGCAAACACACAACTCAGCTCAAGTTGGGATTCAAACTGGTGCCCTCTTTATATAAATAAATTATGGCTTTTATGTAGCGCTACTTTTGTGGTTATAGCATGCTCAGAGCGCTTTGGTCCTATCTCAGTGGTGGACCAGTGGGTGGGAGGGGGTATCTAGGAGAAGGTTTTTCTGTGCTGCCATTAGGCGCTCAGTAAACACAACTCTGCCCGAGTCGGGTGTTGAACCTCGAGCCCCCTTCATAGGTAGCCTAGCCAAGCTAAGTTCAAGTGCACTTAGCCTCTCGACCAGGCTTCCCAAATAGACAAATGGTTTATGTCATTATCATTTTTTCCTTTGTTCAACAGATGATGCTCCCAGACCCACAATCCGCATTTCCCAGCTGAACTACATTCTGGACGACAATTTCTGTGTGCCTAACAATTGTCATACCAACAACTACACTTACTATGTACCACTCAACACTTCGTTTGGATTTGACCAGATTGAAATGGAGTTTAGGTAATCATTAGTGTTCTAGTAGGCAAACTTTGTAGAAACAAGAATTAAGAATGATTTAAATGTAAATAATTGTATATTGTTAAGATTTTCTCTACCTGGCTGCTCAACACAAATCTAACACAAAAACTTGAGGACAAAAGTTCCAAATAATAATGTGTTTAATTGCTAAATACATCAACAGACTATACCACACTATTGGCTGCTCACATAGGTCTCACCAGCCACATGAGGAGGCACAAAACCCCAGCCCAAAGCCCTCAGCCCCCTGAATGACAAAAGTGGTCATCATCGAACCGCGATGGACAAACTATATATGTATATATATTGGCTACACTAACTACAAATGCTTTGTTGTACTTAAAAGAACTGCCAACTAAACACTACTAGTCTCTCTGTTTACTCCTGGACTAGTACAGCTACATTCTGGAAGACTCACATTGTACCGCACCGTCCTTGCTGTCCTGGACTGAACTCCTTTCTTACACACTGTCTCTGGTCCACAAAAGCTCTCAGTCACATGGCCATAGCACGGGTCATATTTGTGTGTACTAGCAGTACTGTCCCTTGTCCATTGACCTGTGATTTGCCTGAGTCATGTGTGTCATTATGTCACACACATTAACCCTATCGCTCTGCCACTAGAGTGACAGAAATTGTTGTGGTGTGAATGGTCTTTTTTTTGGGCAGAAGTGTACTAGAGTAATGCCCCTTGACTTCTTTCTCTTCTAGCACCCCAACAACGAGTCACATGGCCTTGTGTAACAGCAGATTTATGTGGATTTGTCCGACAGCTAACGTCGACAGTCAGATCACTGGAGAGATTTTGCAGCACGTAAGTTGAACCCAGTCTGGATCCAATAGAATTTAAAAGGATAAAACATTATTAAGTAGCTGTAAAAGTTTTAGAAATATTGTATGTACAAAATTGATCCTAAACCGTCTCTGCATAGATGTTGCCTGGGTGGTTGTGAAGGTTAGCGTCTAGAGGGTAGGATTGCAGGGGAGCAAAGTCCTTATGTTAATTACATTTATTTGGCCTCAGAACGATACAGCTGGAGGTCACTCACAAAGGCCTCGGGATACACATTTCAGACCAAAAGAAAATCCGCTGCCGAGGACAGATGCAGACACCAAAAGAAAATCCTAATGGCCAATGGTTATACTTGCTCTGGATGTGGCATAATATGTAGTTCACAGCTGGGGCTGCGTAGCCACAGGAAATGCTGCATTCCTCATTCATTAATCATCGGACTCGAAGACAAGCCTTATTATTATTATTATCATTATTATTATAACATTAGAGAATTGTAAGGAAAAGTTTTATGAGGTGTACAAGTTGTACATGTCAGTGACACCTGTTTGTTTTAACATGATTTGGATGTTCCTTCAGAATTGAAGATTATTTTTTGAGTGTACATATGTAACCATGTTTTTATACAACTGATCTATGCCTATGCTATTAAACATATCAGAAAGAACATGACCCACATTGTGACCTGATTTAATTTTCAGAAAAACATAGCAAAGTGGTCATTAAGTATTGGTAATCACTTCAGGACTATCCTACAGTTCAAGGTCATTCATTCTATAAAAGGTCATTCAGTGGTGAGTAACTTAAAAGGCTTTTGATTAAACACTAAAACCCAGATTTAATTTATTTAAAAAGACATAACAATAATATTTCAGTCAAATATATTCTTAAATTTCTTTAAAAAATTACCCAGAAAAGACACTAAAACGTATTTTTCAATATAAATTTATCTCATCTTATACTAAAAACTATCTTATCTATAAAAAAAAACATCTGATAAAAACTGTCTTATAAATTACAATTGTTCCCTCCAAAAAGAAGATAATTACATCTTAACACATATCCATTTGTTATTCTACTCATGCATGTTAAATAGAGACTTAAAATCTATGAGGTCTTGGTTTTCTTGGCTGATTTTTAAGGTACATCTGTAATTTATAAGATTCAGACAACCCATTCGTGCTCAGGTGGCACTTGGGAAGAGGGCTTTCTCTAATTAACATGCACAATTAGATTAACACATGGATACAAGTAGGTTGTAATTGTTTTCTGTTATAAGAACATCTGTCATTTGTTGGCCTCTGTTTATTTTACAATTCTAGTGAAATTTTACTTCAGTTCTATTGTATCTTGATATTCTGTACAGACTACAGAAGACGCCTGCACATTGGAGTCAAATGAAGACTATGTCGTGATGAAATACTTGATTCAGTTCCAACGCACTTGCTAGCTGGAGTAATGTCATCATGACTCAAAGCCTCAAACTAGTTAATTAACTTACTAGACGATTAAAAATATAAACCAGCAAAATGGTCTGGAACATAGCTATGTAAAGACTGGCTCACTATCCACTGTCATGGCCATTTTAGTTTGATTCAATCCAAATAGTAAATTAAATTTACTTAAAGCTATCTTGTATAATTCTTTTTTAAAGAGATTGTTATTCAGTTTATATTGTTTTTAGTCTGTGATGAGACTTGCTGTGTCAGTGTGAAGTTCAGAATGATGTGAATGTGTTGGGAGTGTAGCATTCAGTTTTTGGATGAAAGTTATTTGATACCATTGAATGAGATGTTATCCAAACTGCTGATACCATTCAATCTTTCCTTATTCCATATTGAACTTGAAATGGTTTAAAGATATCTTTGTTATCGTGTTTGTCATATGGTCAGATATATAGATCATTACTGGGTCAAAATAGTTATCTGAATAATGAACTCTTCCGTAACCTTTGACCCATATGACGAGCCTTTTATTAGCATCATGTTTATAACCTTAAGGTAATTCATTCCTGATGCCTTACCTCTTCCAATGCTATTAAAACTAGAATTCAGAAAAAGCCTGCCAATGTTCATTCGTTTAATGTGATCTTAATAAAGTAAACTTTAAGCAATTAAAATTTTCCAGCGATAATAGCCTTATCACACTGAACATGAGATATCTTTCTGTTGTTTCAAAAACTTTGATCAATTCACTTGAAGTAGTGTTCCTAAAAATGTTACAAGCTGACGACATTTTTATTTATCTGAGATATTCCTAAAAATAGACTGTCATTGACAGTAAGACTTTTAGTACATTATGTTTAATGAATTTAACTTTGCTTGTTCCATTCTGTTATATATTGAAGCCATTAGTCAGACTTTGTTTTTAAGTTCCCACTGATTTAATAGTTGAAAGCTTTCAAGTTTTATTTTAATCTACAGCAAGATCTCACAATAATTTGTGTGGAAATAATATTCAGAAGAATGTTTCCTCTGTTCAGTCTTCTACTTTCTGTTTTTAAGACGTTTGTCTTCCCTGACATGCTGAGATTCCTATGTCTCATTGGCTTTAACTTGTTCTTTTATCATGTATCAGAACAAATCAGGATGTAGATTTATGCAAATACTTCCTTGTAAATAGTTGCTGTTTATATTGTTGCAGTTTTTCTTTGAGATTTGTTTTGATAGAATGAACTGGGAATGTGAGTGGGATAGAGCCTGAACTATATAAAGTATATAAAAACTTTATCAATTTTCTTTTCTATCTTATGCTTAAGCTTACAGGAAACTTGATTCCAAAATCAGTTTTTTTTAATTTTGGTCTTTATTGTCACATAATTTTGTGCCAGTTAAAGCTTTGCAGTTATTGATAGTTTTTATTTTATAACAATGAACAACAAAATATATTTTGAAATGAGGAGTAACTTTTACAGTTTTTATTTACATCGGTAAAAAAAAAAAGTTACAACTATAGAAAAAAAAAGTTACAACTATAGAAGAAAAAAAAAAGAAATAGCAGGTGAACTATTTAGTTGCTTCAAAAATAATGGACTACGTTCTACACCCTTCTGCACTACTGTTTTTTTTTTATTGGAAAATTGGATAACATAACCACATAGTATATATTTTGTTGATTTAATGTTTTGTTGATGCAATGTTTTGTTATGAATTGTAACAATTCTCTTATTATATAAAGTGAAAATTATTTTTTTTCATCACTTTATGTATATTTATTTAATGAACTCGTTTTGTTTGAATGTGTGTTTTAAATCAAATGAGTAACCAGTGTGAAAGTGCATGTTATATCTCTGGTTTTTCTACATATGAAACACTATTCTGCTTAACTAGGCAATTGCATGGCCATATGGTATAAGCTTTGGGCTGTCTTCAAGAAAGCTAACTCTGCCCTCCAGCAGTCCTGCCAATGGTTTAGGCTAGGACATAATCAACTTTTCTGAAGAAAGTCCATAAACTAATAGGATGCAATGAGGGAGATGAGTCATTTTGATAAAAGAGAACATTTGTAAGCAGAGAAAATGAGCAGAGAAGAAAGCATTATTTCATGTCAACACTGACACTGTTATAGATTTTAATTGATTTCATTTGATATTTCCATGCCATACCGCCCCCCCCCCCCCCCCCCCCCCCCCCCCATCTTGTGTGTTGTGTAATATGCCTAGGCATGTATTATTGCTCTGCAAAGCTCATAATGCAAGAACACAATTTAACAGGAATTGTTTTTGAGTAGCCACCCTTGTTTATCTTCAAATCATTTTGTTTGTAAATAGTATGCTGCACTCCTACGCTGGTTATTAATGATGAATGATTAGCATTACACACAACGAATTCAATAAGGAATAGCAATTAGAGCAATTAGCAATTCCCTTTCTGAACGATTTGTTAGTTCTCCCAATCTTGTGTCTGGTTACTTGCATCGCTCATTCCATGCAATGTTTTACCATCTTTGCGCTAGATACCCCCACCTCCAGTGTTTGCCATGTTGCCCAGATGTATATGTTATAATACTTATTGTTGATTTTGTTACTGTTGATGGGCAGCAATGGGTGTTTGAATTGAGTGTTTAGCTACAGCGTTAGCTGTGAATTGAGTGTATAGCTGTGAATTGAGTGTTTAGCTACAGAGTTAGCTTGCAGAGGTTAACAGAATAATGTTAGTCCTAGTTGTAATATTAGTTTTATTGCAATCAGAAAACCAAATATTCGATTAGTTCAAAACGTTAGGTCTTTTTGTTTTGTTGGAGTTCCTTAAAAATCTCTTTGAAAATATTCTAAAATGTGATAACCATTTCTATGTCATTTTAATTCAATCCTCAAATGTCTTTTTACATTTTTATTTGTACATATAATGCTTTCACATGAAGTTCTTAGATCACAAATGAGGTTGGTCTATGCATGTTGTTTTATAGATTTTTACATTATTAGGAGAACAGTAACTGTTTGGCTGCTAATTAAGTTATAGTGATGTTTTTTTTAAAAATAAAGTAGGGATTGAATGTGATATGTTTTAAAATTGAATTCCTTTTCTTATGTTGGATTTAAAAAAAAAAAGAGACCCAGGCCTATTATTATTTGAGTCAAAATTATGAAAAATATTTTTTTTCAAAGCTTAGATTTGTGCTATGAGATTTGTAGTATGGTTTTCCTCAAAGTAAATAAATAAATTTATTAAATAAAAGCAAGTCCAAACCAGTGCTTGTGTTAAATCTGTTTAGTACGGCTGACTGGGAACTTCAAAATGTCAGCTTGATTTTTCCAAATTCCATCACCTTTGCTGTCCTGCCAGATATTTTAAGCCAAAATAATCTACATTTTTAAAGGAATGTTCAAAATGTATGCAATGTGAAATAAAACATTTCAATGTTGCTGACACCAATTTCTGTTCTATTATTTCATTTTGTGGAAGTAATGAATACCATTATGAAAATAATTTTATTTTTGCTGTTCCAATTATAAATATTTCTATGCATCTGTTGAGCTTTTGTTTTGTTTTTAACAGAACACTTTGGCATTCCATTAGATTCTCTAATTCATTCCAAAATATTTGTACATTTCTTTATCAGAGTCCATTCCATCAACTGTTTAGCATTAGAGTCCATTCCATCAACTGTATAGCATCCGGTACTCAGTGGACAAGGTACATTTCCTCATGCACAAATATCAAACATGCAAACGAAACATTTTATATTTTATGATCACATAATCTTTAAAAGGAATATATTCTAATTGAATTACTGAGTACAATTTACAAAATTGTATGTTATTATTATTGCAGTTCTATGTATCATTCTAACCATTTGCCAAACTGTTTTGAACATATTTTTGAAATCATATTTTAGAATGTCATTCAATTTTAAACTGTAATGCTTAAAAATTGAATTAAACTTTGAAACATTGAAAACAGTGTTTGAATTGAAACAATTTATGAACTAGTGAATCTGAGATAATGGGTACTGACTGGTACTTAATACAAAACTCTTTAAAAAAAAAAAAAAAAAAAAAACAACATTCTGTTCTGTTTGTAACATTTACTAAGGACAAAAAGTTAAAGAGCAACATAGTGCACCACAAATGGTCAAAGTGAATAATACTGTCAGAATGTGGAAAATATGTCACAGAGACCACTGTCAGATCTTCAAAATTTTTAGGTTGTCTCCTCATCAAGTCTCTTTCTTACTCTTGTTCAGAGAATTAATTTAAGCACTTGACAAACTTGGAATTCTGAAACAGGATGACAGTAGTGATTGGTATCTGCTATAACCATCTGACCACTGTCCAGAAATTGTTCAGCCATATAACCAACTGACCAGTCCTAAAATTGTTCAGCCATATAACCATCTGACCACTGTCCTAAAATTGTTCAGCCATATAACCAACTGACCACTGTCCTATAATTGTTCAGCCATATAACCAGATCCTCAAGTCTCACTATGACTTCTGTAAATGAAACAGTACCTGGGGGGGGTGGGGGAAGGGAGAACATTCAGGAATAGACAAAGGCCTATGATTCCTGGCAAAAAGACAGAGAGGAATGACGAGAGATGGTTATCAGATTATGTGTGGTGCCTCAACAGACTTAAGGACAGGTGAATGTGGTGGTGAAGTCTACACAACTAAACTGTTAATAAATTTATATCCAATTCAATTTTCAAAGACGGTAGTAACAAAGAAAAACGAATGATAAATTGTTAATTGTTAAACATTGTTTTTATCATTAACATGTGAAAGGGATGAGACAGAAAATTGAAACAAATAAATTGATAAAATCAATTGCTCTCTTGGTTTCACTAGATACCTGGAGCTCTTTGATCTCTAGTTTTGTTGATGCCTAGTTTAATGTAAACATTTTTTTTTTAAATTTGGGTACAAACACTTTCCTAAAACAGCACTGTAAGCAGGGTTCTAGATAGGTCCAAAGTCATAGTATATGTTATGATGTCAAGCTACAAATAGTTTAACTAGTATTTAAAGGTCTAACTCCTCCCCCTACAATGCAGAATGCCCTACACCCATTTCCATACGATTAATTCTCCTCTTAATTCTTACTGCAGGAAAGATTGGAAGACCCATAGGACAGCTAAAAGTTGCTTTTATTGGTCCGAAAAAAGCAACTGTTCAAAATAATGTCTACTTGAGACTTACTAAAGAAACCTGGCCAACATAATCTTTCAAACATCTTTTTTTTGAAGTTACGTCTGTATTTTATGAGATATAATAGGGCTCTAAATTTCTTTCAGAACACATGCATGTAAATAATGTATGTTTGTTAAATGTGTTTAATATTGAGCATTCAATAAATACTTTGAAAAAATTTGGTACAAAAATAAAATTCCATCAATTATAAAAGAAGACTTGAAACCATTCCAAAAAAAAAAAAAAAAAAGAATCACAAAATCAAAAAGAAAAAGTAATAAATTAAGTATATTTTCAAATCACATGACTTCTTGATCACATGCAGAAATCTGGCCAGCCAGAAAGTTCACACTTCATCAAAACCATCAAAGAAATACAAATAAATACTTTCTTTACAAACTGTAGATAATATAAATAATAGGTCGTGATAAATATAGTTGAATTAAATAGGAGATTCAATCCAAATATGTACAACTCAGAGTGTATCTTTTTATTTTTTCTATCCTACCCTGTTTTGTTTTTCTAAGTAGTAAATTGTAACAGTTCATTAATCCAAGAGACTCAATCTGGACTGATGGTACATAAAGTAACATACTAACCAGAAACTGGATTACAATAATTTCAAGACAACGTGTATTATTCAACCAAAATCTGGGAGGATCCTGATTGATCTAGTAAAACAGAGTTATCAGCTTAAACAAATTCTTACTGCAGGAAAGATAGTGTAACCCATTCAAACACTTTCAAGTTGTTTATATTGGTCTGTAAGTAGAAGCTGGCCAAAATGATGTCTACTTATGACATATTAAAGATAATCTTTCAACTGGCCAACATAATCTTTCAACTGGCCAACATAATCTTTAAACTGGCCAACATAATTTTTAAACTGGCCTACAATTTTTCAACTAGCCAACATAAACTTTTAACTGGCCAACAATTGTTCAACTGCCAACATAATCTTTCAACTAGCCAGCATAATCTTTCAACTAGCCAACATAAACTTTTAACTGGCCAACAATTTTTCAACTGCCAACATAATCTTTCAACTGGCCAACATAATCTTTCAACTGGTCTACAATTTTTCAACTAGCCAACATAAACTTTTAACTGGCCAACAATTTTTCAACTGCTAACATAATCTTTCAACTAGCCAACATAATCTTTCAACTGGCCAACAATCTTTCAACTACAAACATAATCTTTTAACTGGCCAGCATAATCTTTCAACTGGCAACATAATCTTTTAACTGGTCAATATAATCTTTCAACTGGCGGACATAATCTTTCAAATGGCGGACATAATCTTTCAAATGGCAAACATAATCTTTCAACTGGCCAAAAATAATCTTTACCTGATCCCAAAAGAGGGGGGACTATCCAAATAAAAACACTTGCTCAAGATAAAGAGCTGCCATATTTGTGTCATATAAATTTTCCTCATCTACATAAAAAAAAAAATTTAAAAAATCTTCATTGTAGCATTGACATATTCATAGGTGAGTGAGTCTATGTGACAAATACAAATTACAAAAGTGTAGATCAAACAAGTTTCACATTTTTTGGAACACAGTCACATTTCAATAATAAGCAATAAATGCAAAACAATTCATTGCAAAAACATAACATACTGAAACGTTCTTACAACACAATTGAATTTTTTTACATGCATATGTAGAAACTGGCAGCAATCTGAGAGTGGAAATCAAGCATTTTAGGGAAGTAGATTATGTGCATCAAGGACAATTGTTTGTCTCCATTAACATGTCCTAGTGAAGAGTGTCTTATAAGTTAACATGCAGTACCAGTATAGGAAACCAAATACAGTGGTTCACTAATACCTTTTTTCAGAAAGACTATAGAATATCTGACCTGAAAATTAATAGACCCAAGAATACTTTGTTGCACATGTGCAGTACAACAATAAGATACATTGTATGATACTTGAAGTTATTGAGATCAATTTTACTAGACACAGTTATCTTTTTTTTATGTTTCTAAAAAAATTTCAGTTGCTAATGTAAAGACATGATGAAAAAAAAAACAGTTTTTAGGCAACTCTTGGCTTCACCTTACAATCGTTGCTGCTTGCATGTCGAGTCAGAAGAAGTTGTCAACAATGATGTATATGAGTTTGTGCGAGAATGTTTCCTACTGGGCCGAGTGGCGGATGGCACAAGGAGACCACCAGTGGACAAAGGTGATTCGAAATCAGGACAATTTTTATTGGTGAAGCGTTGCATATTGCCATTAGACCTGGTCACTCTGTGAGCGAAATTCTGCACCACCCTGGCACTTAAGTGAGCCTGATTTGAATATAAAAAAAACAGTGGTACTATATGAAATTGCAGTCATCACCATATATACATTGTGAAAATATTTTTAAAATGAAACATATTAAGTTTGCATCAGATATGAAAAATGATAAGATATTAAGATAAATTTAAGATAATAAGGTACATCTAAAATAATAACATAAATCTAAGATAATAAGATATGTGTAAGATAATAAGATACATCTAAGATAATAAGATACATCTAAGATAATAAGATACATCTAAGATAATAAGATAAATCTGTCCAATTCCAATATATATCTCATTCTGTGTTAATGGAAGGTAGAATATGTAATTTAAAGAATCTAACGATTTGCTTCTTGTTGAGGACCATCTCTCATTTAACACCTAATAATACTTTGTTGAAAGTTTGTAATCCATGTGTTACATTAAGCAGTATGATTTCATTTTTAGCAACCCCCCAAAGGGGAAAATATGCTATTAGTTTTGTGCGAAATGTCTGTCCGTCCGTCTGGTTTAGATCTCATAAACTAGAAAAGATATTGAAAATCTGACATCACAATATTTTAGACCATTCAAAGTTCTGATGCAATGGCTACTTTTTTTTTTCAGAAAGCGAAAAATGTAATTTTTAAAATCAGTTATGCAAGCAGTTTTTTTAAAGAGAAAAAGCTAATTAGTATGCATTATAAGTTTGGCCTAAATCAAAATGAATAGTAATAGTAAACGTCATTTTCGTGAACTTTTTTTTTATTGCGAAAATGTTTTTTTGTTTTTTTTTGAACATTCGAATAAGAGATTGAGCCTTTTCAAAACAATTACATCAATTATAAGACTTTATTTAGGCCAGGAGAGGCGCGGTCGCTGAGCGGTTAAGCGCTTGGCTTCCAAACCGCGGGCCCCAGGTTCGAATCCTGGGATTTTCAACTTCAGAATCCTTAGGCACCTCTGAGTCCACCCAGCTCCAATGGGTACCTGATATTAGTTGGGGAAAAGTAAAGGCGGTTGGTCGTTGTGCTGGCTACATGACACCCTCGTTAACCGTAGGCTACAAAAACAGATGAACTTTACATCATCTGCCCTATAGACCACAAGGTCTGAAAGGGGAACTAGTTAGGCCAGGTTCACATCTAACTTTGCATTCACTTGCAACTATCCTTTGATCTGCTGTACTGTTGGGGCACTACACAAGATCTGTTAACCTTCTTTCTCCATTCTTATCTCTCATTTCTCTTTGATATAATTTTATTTGGATGTTCTTTCTGAAAATATTGAAGCCTGCCTGTCTGGACCACTTCGGGGGCCGATTTTGAGTTTGTGTTTCCACACAAACTGTCTTTGTAATCTTGTTTATTAGTCTTCTAGAGTTAAGCATGTCAGACAATTGCCTTCCCAAGTGACTTCTGTATGGGGAGTTGTGTGCAGGAAAGCACTCCCAGGGAGGCCAATACAAGCTCTTGATTGCTCCTCATGACATGAAGCTGTGAGTCTTGGAGTCTCAAGATTTGAATCAAGAAGAGTGGCCAGGGCAAAAGAGTGCCAAACCAACAAAAAGCCAAGAGAAGAAG